TATCCTAACATTACTGTATAATCTACATATAGATTCAGTATTTATTAGATATATATAATCCATATCCTAAAGTTCCTGTATATAGATTCCATATTTATTATATATATATATATATGTGTGTGTGTGATCTAAACGCTGGATAGATCCAAAATAAATTTCATTCCTTTGTACTTGTGACAGTACAAAGCAACGACAATAAAGTTCAATTCTATTCTATTCTAGTCTATTGAGCACACATAAGCTACGAGTTACAGCTGATTTTAGAGACCAAAAAGACACTAATGCTATGTTTAAAGCAGGAAAAAAGCTTCTGCTGCTTAATTTTTTATGCTTGTACACATAATAGTCAGACATACGGCAAGAGAAGCTTTGACGCTCCTGAAGCGAGTCCAGTAAAGTGCGTCAAGATGCGTCTGATGCTTCTGCTGCTCACGGTTCAATGGCAGAGAGCGGCTTTGCTATATTTGCTGGTATAAGTGGGTAAAAAGTAGTTTTAATATGTTTTTTAAGTGAGAAAGTCCACCTGAAAACTTCATCTGTGCAGTCAGTTAATCAAGATTACAATCCTGCCTTCAAATATTATTTCACTGTCAGACCCGCTCAGACCCTCGTACACCAGCGGAGCTCTTTCCCTGGAAATTTCCGCTACTGGAAGGCATTTTTTACATCCATAATCCAAACTGCAGGCACCAGAATAATAAAAATCTAACATATTTTGCTGGCAGGTTTCAACATTTTAAGTTAATTTAGGTGTTGCTAAACTGTTTCAGGGTAGTGCTTATAGTGATCTGCTTCAGCAGTGCTGTGTCCATCTCCCTGCCTGCTCCCAGATGAGCTTGTCTGATTGGTTGATGCGGCGCGTCAAGCAGCAAAAGTTAAATTTTTCCGACTCCAGCAGCTGCTGTTGCAGCGCGTTGTGAGCATTAGATGCTCAGATGCTTCAGCTGCTCAAAACACGCTTCAGGATCTTTTACTGTGCCTTGATGACTTTGCATGTAAACTAGCTTCTTTTGCTGCCTCTAGCGCCTGCGATCTGAGCGTAGTATCTGAGTGTGTTTTTCTTTAGTAGATAAAGATTAGAATTTAAGAAACAAAATGTTAAATAGCAGTAGTTTATAATGGTAGTTGGAGCTTCTCTGGTGAGGGTTTATGACATGTGGGCATCAGTGGATTAATCACTAGATAATCAGAGTGAGGAGTGGTGAAAAATTGACATGGTAAGAAAAGTTTTCCTTCCACTGCAACCTAAAGGATCTCACCAAACAAATGAAAAGAACACTTTGAGAAACCAAAAGATAACTATTAAAAGATAACACTAAAGATAAAAATTTTGTTTTTTTTTTGTTTTTTTCCAAATTGCCTTTATCTGGAGACAGATCTGATACAGAAGGATGTAAAACTGCAGAAATAACATATAATAATGTTAGCTTTTCTACAAATAGAATTTGCTGCAGGCATCAAGGGGCAATTTCCCACTGTTCAAACACCACATGATTCCTTTCATCTTTGGTTTTTACTGACCGCTAAGTCCTGTTGTCTTACGTTTTTATTGTTTTCCTTTCTCGACGTCCCTGCGAGATGCTCCCACTGATGCAACACGAATTTCTGTCCTTTATCGAGCGGGTCCGTGTGTGCGTTTCTGTGTGTTCATGCAGACTGTTTGTGAACCTTTCAGTACTCTCAAACATCAGGCGCTTTATGCTTCTCTGGTGGCAGACAGGAAGGGAGCCTCTAGTCACATTTTTTCATCATTACCTTCGTTGCCCTCCTTCATCTTTCTCCCTTGGAAGTTAAAAAAGTAATCAAAGGCTCAGCATCCGACAGCATCTTTACTTCCTCTCTGTCAAAATTTCCCTTTCCTTCCCTTGAATTTATTGCAGACACTAGGACGAAAGCTCCTCTTTTTAAAGGGTGCTGAAAAAAAATCTGCTGTTGGTCTCAGTGGAGGTGTTTTTGTGCTTCCATTGACATCTTTGCTAAATGCAGGATGCTCTGCCACTCATTTAACAGCACTGTGACTTTGTTCCTTCCTCTGGGAGCCAAGCAGGCCTTTGTATTCTGGCAACTGCCTAAGAACTTGCCCTCCTCCGCACATCGTCCTGCCTGTCGCATCATCCCAGAATTAACATGGACATGCTGCTTAGCAGACCACAGAGATGGGAACCAAGCAGCTCTCTGGCTGGAGAGTCAGACTAAATCCCGGATCAGTGCAGAGGAGAGTGCAAGCTTCTTGGAGAGAGAGTCTTGGCTGGATGGGTGGAGATTTTTGGACATTAGAGCTTTTGCAAATAAAGCGCTGGATTAGGAGTAAATGATGATGAAAAAAAAACTAAAAACTGCAGGGTGTTAATAGAGGTCTTCTGGGTAATCCAGTGTTTTATTGGCTTGTTTTTTTCTCTGTGTGTGTATGAGTGTTTTTATGTGTACTGGCTGTACCTAATGATGGTACTATCTTCCATGTATCACTTATGTAGCATATGTTGAGCCCCATTACCTCTGACACTGTCAGATGGATTTGTTCCTCCATGTACAGATGGATTGATACCTTCAACCTTGAGCCATTTAGACCTGAGCTATAAGTATGTCATTAATCTTTGTTTAATGTTAAACACGGATGAAAATGTGTTTTATTTTTCTCTTTGTTTTTGTTTAGGATGATGAGCCAATTGTTGGAGGGGCTGGGAGCAGATACCAAACCCACATTCGAAAGTTTCTTAGCCAGAAACACAAGAAGTTACTATGGAATCCAGAGGTAACACCAGACTTACCATCCTTATTTTCATTTTGTCTTCCCTTGTTATTTTATGTAATACTCACCCTAAGAATTGATTTTCCATTTATTTCACATTTTGGCATTGCACCCAGATAGGTTGGCTTGTTTTATCTTCATCTATGAGATTTGGTCATAATTCTTAACTGGAAGGAAATGAAAGCATGGTTTTCAGTTTAGTGTGCTCTTGTATTCAATCCCATTCATGTAAACCTACCTTTCATTGTAACTGCAGTTGCAAGTTTTTTGAGTGGTTTCTTCCACCCAGAAACCAAAATAATGCACATCCTTCTTTGCAAAATAACTCAGTCCGATTATGTATAATGTCTCACAACTTCTACAGTATTTTACTATTTCAAACTCTGTACTAAATATATATACCTGCACTTATGGCTTTTGTAATATATATTGGATATAAATTATTCCATTATAGTGACAGTTAACAAGTAACAAGTCAAAAGTTTTCCTCAAAGATTACCCTTTGTTTAGATCTGAGCATACTCTTATCCTCTCTAAACAGCTTCTCTATCCCTGCTGAATAAAAGTAACTCTACAATATGGTGGTGCCTCCCCCATGCTTTAACATAAAGGTATCCTCCTCCTGATTATGATTAGTGTTAGTTTTCTGCATAAAGTGTTTTTTAAACCTTGCCTGCAAGCTTAATGCTAGCGGTATTTGCACCTTTCCATACACAAAATAATTCATCTCACACTGCAACTGTCAAGACAAAACAGGATAATCGATCACATTCGATAATGAGGTTTCAGACAGGACATACGGCTTTGACTAAAGCAAGAGCTGCTGAGCCTCACAGCTGAACCAAAGTCAAAATTTAAATGCAGGAGGACATGTGCATAGCTGCTGACTTCATCTGAGTGATCTGAATGGTAGAGCATATGATTTCATTGTTGAAGGAGAAATGACAAAACGATACAAGCATAAGTTGTTTTGAATTTTCTTGGTGTGTGTAGCTCTTTCATTTCTTACCATTATTGGCTGAAATAAAACTTTTAAGTTGGGCACTAGGTGTGGAGCAGTGCATGATTTTTAATGTGTAGAGCTAAATGTGAGTGATACAGATTAGCACTATGGCTTACCATTTTGCAAATAGGGCCAGTTTGCAGTAATCTATCACTCAGTCAGAAGCGATAAGAACACAGCATTTTGAAGGTTGGTGATCAATGTTTCTGTCTGATCAGAATGCAGGTATGCATGGTTTATTAGTTTAAACCTTTTGGATGGGTGTTAATCTGCAAGAGGCTGGTGATAAAATTACTAATTCTGTACCCATTAAATGTTATGTCTGGAAACTTTTGAATGGACCCAGGAAAAGATACAGGGGTAATAACTTGGCACAAAGGCATAGGTATTACAGGAAATGGGCAATATTGATAATGTTATTTATTTAACTTCGGATGGGGTATTTTTAAAGCAGGCACTACTGAGATTACACGTTTGAATTAATTGGTATATATATCACAGCTTGCTTCTTAATGTAGTCAGCTCACCTAAAGCAAAGAAAGGGATCAGTAGACAGGCCAATTAACAACATATTAGTAAGCAGAAAATCAGCTCTTGATTAGTCACATGCAGTGGAGTTTTCTCCAGGCGGGCTATTCATTCAAAATAGACCTACAGGTATACCAAAAACCAATCGAACTTATACTAAGCTATCATGTTTTTTGTTGTTGGCATTCATATAAATAAACTGGATATTTAAATGAATGCCAACAACAAAAAAC